GAATGAGCGCCCCTGGGAAAAACAAAGTGTTCCGCGGTCGCTTACTTCGCGTAATGGAAAAACCGGCCCTGCTGCCGCCATGCATATAGAGTTATCTTCCGAGTCCTAAGAAGAACCTGTGATTTTGACAAGTGTCAGGGTGGTGCAGATGGTAGTGAGGATCAGCTGCTGATTCATAAAACAAGCAATTTTACAAGCGAATAAATATGAGTCTTCCCCCCACCCCCACCCCACCTCCAATAATGTCATGATTACAGAGTCAATTTTTCCTCACCGATTACAGCACTTTCACTTGTCCTAATTATGTCAATCTTTTGCCTTAAGCTTTTCGGTGTCTTAATCAGCAGACTTCTCTGCTTATGGCTGCTGGTGAAATAGACGTCCTCCGTACTGATCTGTCTCAGTCAATGGAATACACTGTCTTTCTATCTGACCAACGCGCACTCCTCTTCCTGTGATTAGTCTCTCCATATTAGCTTCTGTGTACCACATAGCGCAGAGATCCTCATTGCAGTTATTCTCAAATGAATCATTGGACTTGTTTGGCCAATATCAAGGTTGGGCAGTGGGAATATTGTCTTAGAACGCTGATATTTTCTAAATCAGCATGGTGTAATAATTTGAGTGATGGATGCCATGAGACCAGGGTTCAAATCCTCGCTGGATGAGTTTGGACAAGTAACATTCTTCCACAATGGCAAAGGGCCTCTAGAGAAGTGTTTCCTCAAACTGTGATCCTCCAGGTGTTTTGAACTTTGTCTCCTTAAAATCCCAGCTGTTGGGAATCGTGGGAGTTGAAGTCCAAACATCTGGAGAAGCATGGTTTGAAAAACTCTGCTATAGAGAAATCTGGCTGAGAAAACCATTGTCATTATGAGTTGGAAATGACTTAAAGGCTTCCGCAGCAGCAGCAACGTAATCCAACACTGATGCTTTTTGCAAACAGACTGCATGCATATTTACTTAGAGACATATCTTTGAGTATTTCACCTCTCTGTGATTAGTGGGGCTTTCTCTTAGATAAATATGCATAAGATTGTGCATGTACTTTTGCTGTTGGCTCTGTATCCACAGATTCTGTGCCCATAGATTTCACCATCCACAACTTGACAATATTAATAAGAAATTGCAAAAAGCAAACTTTGCTCTTGCCATTTTACTACACAATCATAAATAATGGGATTTGAGTATCCACAGATTTTGTTATCCATGGAACCAAACCCCAGCAGATACCATGGGCCCATTGTATTCATTTCCACTGCCATCAGATAGTGGGAAACATTTAAATCATTTCCACTCCATGAGATTTTTCTTCTAATCTGCTTATAACTGCATAAATCTGATCTGAAAAATAGAACTGATATTCTTTGGGGAATGTGAGTACGCAGGGCTCCCATGTCTTCAAGGCCAGTGTCAGAATTAACCATACAAGGGTTTTGATAGTATGCAAGTAAACTTAACTTTAAGTGTATGATCAGGCGAAGAGGGACATTTTTAATGCAACAAATACCTTGTCACATGTGGATTCAGGAATGCCTCTTCCTTCTTTGGTACATAAAGGGACCTTGTGTCTCCATGGAGACTGACTTAGGGCCCTTCCACACAGCCCTATAATTCCAGAATATCAAAGTGGAAAATCCCATAATATCTGCTTTGAACTGGGTTATCTGAGTCTACACTCAGATAATGTGGGATTTCCTGCCTTGAGAGGAATTTGAAAGATGTTGCATTGTGTTAAAGAAAGGGTTGCCAGGCCAGTTCTGGGATGGAGCTCCCATAACTTTGATCCTTGACGGATCTAGGTCTCTTTCGAATTTTATGATTCTGTGTAGTAGGAGGAGCTGCAGTAAAACTCCATGAAGTGGAATAAAGGTACCGGTCCTCCCTCATCTTTCAAAGTTCAACCTTCAGTGCAGCATCCCATCCCAAAATGGTGGAGAGCACAGGGAAAGGAGTATGCAGAAATATCCAGCTTTGTTCTTTTTGCTGGATGCACAGCAATAGAGCACTTCTGTTGACAACCTGATGACAATGCCAATACTCACAAAGCTGGCCAGTCTTATCCACAACTCTCATCATCTTGCTTTGCAGAGCTTTATAGTACATTATTCAGCTCCAAGGTGTGTTTAAGATTAAAGCTAAAGACCCTAAGACAGATTCATTCTGGCAACCCTACTTAAAGAAATAGGAGCTTATTTCAAAATCGAGCATGCTATTCCTTGTATAGGCCAAAGTACAGACAACCTTGAAGGACCTGGGTTTCTGTGGTCAGACCCTGCAAGGGCACCTAGATTGGTGAGGACTCTCATTGTCATCAGGTTGCTAATTTTTCTTCTGCAGGAAGCTAGAAGAAACCTTCAAGTGGCACTGTGGTCAGAGAAAAAGGTTAGAAGCCTGCAGTACTAAATTGCAATATGAACGATCCATTCCCCAGCGATGGCTGTAGAAAAGCCACTCTTGGAGCTGAAAGCTGCACAGTATTGATCTGGATAGGAAGGAGAATGTGATGTAAAATTGGATAGGTTTTTGTACTTTAAATAGTTATTCAGAAGAAGGAATTTCAGAATGTCTGAACTCTGCATGGTATATTTCCACTACTAAAATGGATTCTTTTATGCAACTATTTAAAGGCATGGAATATAAGCACTTCCCAACCTCTTTATGTTGGATCAGACAGAAATTTGAAGATATTATGGAGCTGGGGATTCCTTGTTAGGAAGAACGCAGGTCCACAGATTGGAAAAAATATAATTTTGGACTACAATTTCCAGATGTGAACTGAAGAATTCTGGGAGCTGTAATCCAATTCCCACCCCCTTTTCCAAGCTCAGGTTGTTTCTTTCTGACCCGCCAATCTTAATTATTTTGTAGTTCGTTTGATAGTATGGTCAAGTGTTTTGGCTGTTTTCTTCCATTGCAGTAGAAATCTCTTTGGGCACCAGTTGAGTATACATTACATCAGGTTCCTCCTCCAATGACAAGTGGTTCATTCTTTGCATTTTGAGGCTTAGTCCTGTTATTTTTATAAGCTGTGTTTAATAATATATGCTCCTTTTTATACACTACTGACTTTGCTGTGGTTTGCAAAATCTGGACAAAGATAGATGGAGACTTTTCTAGATATTTACGTCAAGGATTGTGAAACATTAGGCATGTGCAAAGTTGCAGAGAGGACTTGAATAAATGAATATTGGGGAATAGATTAAAATGCACATAATCAGATACATTTTTTAAACATTCCAAAGAAAAAATGAAATGTTGGAGTTGAAACAATAGTCAAGATGGGATTCATTCATTCATTCATATAATATCCAAGCACATTATTAATACCTCCCTTCTTCTCCATGTGGGGCCTGGGGTGGTTCACAATACATTGAAATATAGATAAAACAAATACATAATACAAACATTATTAAAAATTAAGCAAAAAATCTATTTAGCACATTCAGTCAAAGCACTTAAAATATATTATTGGGCTGTAATTTCATGTTAACTGAGCAGACTGAACCTAGTTGCCAAATTAATATAATATGAAAGAGTATGGGGGCATTTACAGGGAGAAATTTCCTTTATTTTTCACAGATTCTTCTCTGAAATAGCTGCTGCCATTCCTGGAATGTGTGTCTCAATTTGGTCCCTTCCTGGGATTAACTGCAAAGAGACACTGCTTTTAGCAGGATGAGGGCAGGACCATTCTCCTTCATTAGGAAATCAGAGTTTGTACAGTGTTTCCTCACAGTGCAGAACAATCAGTCTGTGAAATGAGTAGAAGCATTGCTATCAGGATAGGAACTGATCATGAGGCTCTTGTGGTCTACAATCTTAGGACCTCATCACATTGATGAGGGGCAACGGTGGGATTTGCCAGCCTTCATGGTGAATCAGTGGGGGAATGGGGCAATCCCACTGACCCACAGCAATGCTTCCCTGTCATACATGGGGAAGCGTCACCACGTGGCTTCCCCCAACACTGACACTATTGCTGCCTACAGAACACAAGAAGCCTCCTGTGCTCTGGGTGGAGTGTCCTAGGATGTTTGCAGCACAGTTCATCTACAGAGCCCCACCGGAAGTGAGTGTCATGTGATGGGCAGCATGGGGCTACATATATGCTGCAAGAGTCCTAAGGCACTTGTGTAGCCCTATGTGATGAAGTTCCTAGTTGGGCTTAGTTGATAAAAACAAGCTGCTACTTCCATCGCAAGCCTTGATTCGAGATGTTACCTTTTCTTTTGTTAGATGGCAAGACTTATCTGAGATTGCAGAGCAGTGCCAGGAGAGAAGGGCAACACGCCCGCCTTGTCAGCCCTGCCGTCTTCTTGCCCAGGAGCGCCGTCTGCATGATCTTCCGGTACCAGGTCTCTGGTGGGAGTGGGACCATGCTGCAGGTGCGACGAGAAGCCACACATGAGAACAAGGCCTTGTGGATCATCAGGGAGGATCAAGGGGAAGAGTGGAGAGAAGGGCGGATCCTTCTCTCTAGCTACGAAATGGAGTATCAGGTGAGTGTGCTGAGAAGGTTCTGAGGTTGAGATTCAAGTGGATTTCAGCGACACTCCTTTCAAATACTTCAGCAAACCCTGTTTCATTCATTATTAGAGAACATCTTTGAGCAGGTCGCTTTTCTTCTTCATTGTGTTTTCCATGTTGCTATAGTAACTAAAAGACAGTGTGTTTGTTATTCAGAATTTGCCTGTTTTATACATAGATTTAGGTCTTTGTTCATACTGTTGCCTTTTATATTCCTCTCATTTGTAAATGGGTCCCCCTCCCATTTTTTTTTAGGTGATTATCAAGTATTCTGTGTCAAGCAGCTACAAAGCCATAAGGAATGAAAACAAGGGCATCTTGTAACTAGGCAGAGGGGCAAGAGCAGGCCTAAGATTATTTTTAAGAAGCCTTCCTTCCTCTTTCTTTCTTTCTTTCTTTCTTTCTTTCTTTCTTTCTTTCTTTCTTTCAAGATATTCTGGGAGAAAGGAAGAAGTAATTAGTGCTTCCTTGCTTTGGAAGAAGGTGGGTTTGTGGAAAATGAGCTCCCAGTGTGAATCCAATGCTCTCAAAGCCTTTAAACAACAGCAGAAAGTTGTATATTAATAGATAATTTAGGAAAGAGACCTAAAACACACACTTCAGTTATTCATCTACACATGCAGAATTATCTTCAAAATTCAGCACAGAAACAGAGTCCCAGGGAAAGTAAGCATGCAGCTCACATTTAAATCCATTTTATACGAGCTGAACCATCATAGCTTCTCTCTCCCCAGAATTTCTAGAAAACACAGTTTGCTTGGCACTTTGAATTTTCCTTGAAAGGTTTCTAGCTTCACCTTTACAATTGGGAATGGGGAGTGACTGCTGATATAGTCTGAGCCTGCAATATAGATACGAGAATCAATCTACTTGTAGGCAATGTGATACTCATGTTTTCAGTACTCCAAGCCAGAAACTAAAGTCATCCGTATGTGTATCAGATTTCAAAGGTTTTAAATATATGTGTCAATTGAGAGCCATAATTGTTTTGTTTTCAAATAGTATAAGAATCTTCACAACATAACTAGCCTTGTGAGGGAGGGTCTGTCTGCCTCCATCTTACGGCTTTGGGCATGTTCTCCTGGCCACAGTCCCCCAACACTTCTTAGCTTCCTGTGTTTTCTTTCTGTATTCCCCATGTTGCTGCTTGTCAGAAAATCTGGCAAAAACGCCAATATCGCGCTTGGGAGAAAGCACGGAAATTAAACCTGACAAGCACATTTGCATACATTGCAGAGCGTTGCATAATTTAGCTAAGGCATGGGCTTCGTTTTGTCCTTCTTTTGTCTTCAAGCCACATTTGCATTTCCTTCTACCAAAGTGTGGATTGCGTCTCACATGGCGCACTTCGTCTTGGCCACTGAGAATAGTTAGAGATGGCCAAGAGCCCAGGAAAGACATTCGGGGTCTCATTTGGCAACCATTCTGCCCTTGAAGTTTTCTCTTGTTTGCCAAGGTCTCTGTTGGAAGTCCATGAGTGGGGAATGTGCAGGGCCAGGTGGCCCTTGGCACATTATTCTCTCTCCCAGTAAAAGAACAGCTACTGCTGGGTAACAAGACCAAGCATCCCAGTGTGCTGAGCATCCCCCAAGGAGCAAGCTGCTCTTCTCGCTTCTTTAACCAGTCTAAAACAAAACAGAAAAGAGCCACAGGACTACTATTGTGATCTAGACAGAAGACTACTAATAAAAGCAAGTGAGGTTGAACAATAATTAAATATAAACAGAGATTCTCTGGCTTTGCCCTCACCAACTTTATATTTAAGGTTCATGTATGTTTCATTGATTTTTTTGGGGTTCAGAACCAATAAGAAGAATTTGAAATTTAAAATCTATCTATCTACAGGCAGTTTCCAAGTTACAAACATCTGACTTACAAACAACTCGTAGATAAGAATGGGGGTAAGAGAAAAGGAAGAGAGAGAAATCGACCTGAAGGGGTTATCATGGCAAAATTCACTCCTGAAGGAGTTATCATGGGGAAAAGGTGTTTCCGTTGAAGCTTTATCACCAGTCCTTGTTTCCAAACCAAATTTTTCAAATTGCAGTTTTCACAGGGACAGAAAGTGAGTTGAAATCTTCTGAACAGGGGCATAGGCAGCAAAACAGATAGTACAGAGTGTCAATAATAATAATAATAATCATCATCATCATCATCCTTTATTTGTACCCCGCTACCATCTCCCGAAGGACTCGGTGCGGCTTACAAGAGGCCGAGCTCAAATACAACAATAAAACAACAGCAACAACAACAATGCAAGAACTCAAAAAACAAAGCAATAACGTTAACAACACCTAATGACGCAATTAAAACAATGGCCGGGCCAAATGTAATAATTAAAATTAAAAGTGCTGGGCATGACACGGTGGGGAGTTTGGAGGGGGATGGGCATGCAGATATCCTGGATCTCAAGCTCCTCCTAAAGATTGCTAGCGACGGGGCCTGCCTGATGTCCTTAGGGAGAGAGTTCCAGAGTCGAGGGGCCACAACCGAGAAAGCCCTATCCATTGTCCCCACCAATCGCGCTTGCAATGCCGGTGGGATCATAAGCAGGGCCTCTCCAGATGAACGAAGAGATCGTGTGGGTTTATACACATAGATGCGGTCACACAGGAAGGAGGGTCCCAAACCGTTTAGGGCTTTGTAGGTAAGCACCTGCACCTTGAATTGGGACCGGAAAATGAATGGCAACCAGTGGAGCTCCTTGAACAGGAGAGTTGACCTCTATGCTATCCAGAGCCTGTGTGTGTGTGTGTGACTGGAGTTGCACTTAAAAATGTATCTGTTCCAGCTTACATAGAGATTCAACTTTAGAACCTATCTTGTTTGTAACCTAGAGGCTGTCTCTATCTATCTATCTATCTATCTATCTATCTATCTATCTATCTATCTATCTATCTATCTATCTATCTATCTATCTCTTCTCCTACATAGACAGTAGAGGGCCAGCACAGTGTAGTTATTTGAGCATTGACTCTAGAGATTAAGGCATTGATTCCTGCTCAGTCATAGAAACCTTTTGGGTGACCTTGGGCATGTCACACTCTCTCAGCCTCAGAGGAAGAGAACAAAACCTCACTTAACACATTCTGCAAAATTAATAGGATTGCCATAACTTGGAAATGACTTGAAAACACACAACAACAATTAAATATAAACATCATAATTCATTGTAACAACAATAATATAATTTTACTGTTATTAGTGTTAGCCTTTATAGAGCACCTATAAATACACTTTATGGTTCTTGTATATAAATCCTGTAATAAGTTTGCCTTAGAGGCACTATTTCAGAAATGACTTGAAGGTACCCAACAACAGCAGCAATAACATGCCTGTTGGGGTTGGAGGGAAGAAGAGCTGAGGAAGGAATGTTACAGTGCTCTGGTAGATGTATGTTCTCTTCAACCTTTTGCAAGTCAAACTAGAAACAGCTGGGAGAAAATCTGAAGGCTGCTGAGCTAACACACTGCATTTACCCTTCTCCATCACTTCTCAGGGGATGAAGATCAAATAAGCAACTTTTGGACATTGTGGAAAGTATTGCGTTTCAGGTGACCTTCTGCTACATCTTTCTTTTGTCACCTGGAGGCCAAAACCCACTTCCTTTTGCTAAAAGCATACTATCCATTTTAACATACTTTCTTTGAAAAGCACAGGCACTGTTTGGGGACTGCAGAAGAATGACATTCTCTGTTCTGTTCATATTCATTCCTAGATTGTATTTGAAGGAATTATAAGCAAAGGACATTCGGGAGAGATTGCCATCAATGATGTCCGGATAGGCACCGATACCTCCTTGGAGAACTGTATGGGTATGTAAACATGCCTCTCATCTGTATCATTTTGACCACAGGAAGAAAAAAACTTGTTTACAGAAGGAAATCTAGTCAAGGTTGCTGGAGATGGGGCTCATCTTTGTAACTTGCTCTTCCTTATGCTTTCCATATCACACAAAAACAATGGTTGTGCTGAAGCTATTGAAATGACATCTCTGTGGTGCCTGCTGTCCATGGCAAAGCAGCTTATTCACAAATCAATGGGCTGCTGATGTAAGCCTTCTCTCTTCATAGGGCAGCCATAGGATGGATGCCATTATACATGGCCACCACACAGCAGGTGTTTCTTGAGGAACAGCCTTTAGATCCTCACTTTTCAAAAACAAGAAACAAAGAAGAAAACCTCCAGTCACTGTTGTAGTAATCCATAACCTCATCCCAAAGCAAAAGGGTTCCTAGAGAGCTTTAGCAATGGTAGGTCCCCAAGGAAATTTGACAGGCGCAATCTCACATGTTTGACATTCTCACTGTTTGACACCTCCAATTGAAAAGCACTGGGAGCTGATGTACACAAAGAGCAAACACAGCAGGAGAAGTGTTTGTGGTCCAAGCACAGTTGTTGAGGAGATGACACCATGACATCCTTTCCAGGAATTAGAAGAAACCTTGTGTATATCACATTTTAGAAACAAGGCTAGGCTGGAAGTTATTTATCTAGAAATTTAATGTTTGGGTTTTTTTTAAAAAAAGTTTTTGGATTTTTAAAAATGAAGGGGCCTTCACCCCATACCCTCTTGGGCAGTCTGGCATTTCACAGAATGAGAATCAGAAGGCTAGTAAAGGAAACCAGTATGTGCAGCCCAGTTGTTGTAATGAGCCTATGTAACACTACATTCTCCCTCGCTTTTACTCTTGGATACATGGTGCAGTGGTTTGAGCATTGAATTAACACTGCAGACCAGAGTTCAAATGCTGTTCATCTATGGAATTATTTATTTATTTATTGCATTTTTTTCCCCGCCCTTCTCAACCCCCAAAGAGGGACTCAGAGCGGCTAACATAGGCAGCAATTCGATGCCATAATCACAATAACTTCAATATAAAAAGCCTGAATACATAAAAGGTTAAACATAATAATAATAAATTATATAACCACGCAGACTCATAATCACATATCCGTTTCCAGTTATCATAACAGTAGTCAGGTCCAGTTCATGTTCAAGTGATGCTGCGCCCACTAGCCAAAGGCCTGGTTCCAAAACCACGATTTTAATTTTTTTTCTGAAGGAAAGGAGGTAGGACACTGATTTAATCTCACTGGGAAGCGAATTCCACAAGCGGGGGTCACCACCGAGAAGGCACTGTCTCTCGTCCTCACCAGGCGCATTTGCAAGGCCAGTAGGACCAAGAGCAGGGACTCCCCAGCAGATCTTAGATCACGAGGTGGAATGTAGAGGGAGATACGTTCGGATAAGGAAGCTGAGCCAGAACTGTAAGGAAGCTCACTGGGTGACCTTGAATAAGTCCCACTCTCTCAGCCTCAGTGGGAGGCTAAGGCAATCTCCTTCTGAACAACTCTTGCCAAGAAAACTGCTGTGATAGTTTTGCTTTAGGGTTACCATAAGTTGTAAACAACTCCAACGTGCACAATACAACAAGAGATATAGAAACCACATATCTGATCAAAACATGTATCACCGACTTTCATTGTAACAGCAGGGAGGAGATGCAGCCGGTAGCAATGAAATAATATTTACAGGAGTAGCAAACTGCAAATTTGCAATACAATTGCTCTTATCATTCCTATGTAATAGTGGTCAATAGGTCAGAAAACCACCTTCAAAGTAGACAGTCTTTTCCTGGAGTTTTAAAGCCAACTAAACTCTTTGTCCCACAATGTAGCAAATTTCAGAAATTCTTTTGGCTTTCTCTTTTTTCCTGGAGGAAACCAGGGGGAGTTTGTGCCAAGATCTGATTACTGGAAGGGTAATCTGTAGCTTTGTGATGGCAAGAGATGGCCAAAGGGGTTGTTGAGGGAAAATATATAAGGTGTCATCATTAGGTGCTTGCAAGGGCTGATCACATCAATAGGAGCCTCTTATTAACAAGAAATAATCAGCAGGGGAAGTCTTAGAGCATTATTAATAATAACATAACAGATTCCTGCTCTGGAATCCATCAGTCTGAGAGCTGGGATGGAGGCCAGATAGGAAACTTTGCTGCAAGCACTGTGAAGTGTTTTGATTTGGATTTAAAAGCCAAAAAAGAAGAAGAAAGCCAAAATGTTACATAAAAATGTTGTTTTTCCTCTATTGTTACCATGCCCTGGTCATCTGTTACATTTTGTCTGTATGAAGCTGATATGAGTGTTAGTTCTTTATTCATTTATCTCATCTATATACCGTCCTTTCCCCAAAGATCTTGGAGGGTGGTGGCTAAAGTTATGTCCCCATTTTTATCATTTTTATTAGCTGAGAAATGGGTACTGCATGGCTCAGGGTCTTGGGATGTTGAATATTTGAGCGAGAATTGCATCTTGGTTGACTCTGAGCAAAGTTCAGTGCTGTTACTGTTGTTTCAATTGTCGATATTAATTGTTTTCTGTATATTATTATTATTTACAGTATTTATATACCACCTTTCTCACTCCTGGGGGGACTCAAAGCGGTTTACACATAAATAATGGCAAGATTCAATGCCTTACGTTGAGCACCGATATGTCAATACAAACAATTACAATACTAAAACCACAATTAAAACAATACATCAACAAGCAACAAGTATATAGTAAAGTTTACAAACTTTAGTGAAAAATAGACCACCAAAACCTGATGAGTTTATCAGTGGGTCAGTGTAAATACTGTACCTTAACTCTTACCAAAAAAAAGCCACCCCTTCTTCTGAGTAGAGAGGCAAAAGGTGAGAGCTTCATCCATCCTTGGAGAACCTAAAAGGGCCGACCCATCTATTATCTTTGCCATAGCATCACTTCTGGTCTTTATGGATGTCTACATGGGGAAATAAGTAGTGGAAATATCTCAGAGGCAGAGTTGGGACTTTCCCCCCTCCATGGAATGGCCTTCAACTTATCTACAAGTTGTATCAAAATCTGTGATTTTGGCTTCCAAGCCAGCCCTCAACTTATACATGTATAGCATATCTTCTGCAACATAAATAAAACCAGCTTTATCACCTTTAAAACTGTAATCGACAACAATTTAAAAACATATTAAACAATGTAACAAGTTTAAATAAGACAGATTAAATCCATTAAAATAGCTAAACAGTTCAGTATTTTAAAACATGTACAAGTGCAGTTTTATGTACAGTGATACCTTGACCTAAAAGTTTAATTTGTTCTGTGACTGAACTCTTAACTCAAAACACTCTTATCTCAAAGTGAATTTTCCCCTTGAAACGCATTGAAATGTTATTTTGTCGTCTCCCACAAACCCTCGTCTACATTTTTTATGTATTTTAAATAAGAAAATGGATTCACATGGATTTTTTTTTTAAAAAAAAATCAACATTTGATTTTGAGTTGTGACATAATGGTAGAAGCACAAAGTTGCAACAAGGAAGCACAAAGTTGCGACAAGGAAGCACAAAGCACAAATTGAAGAGGCAGAAGCATTATTTTCTTCATACTGGATTCATTCCGGCCTGCCTCCCTCCCTCTCTTGCTCTCTCTCCTTCTCTCTCTTCATGAAGCCAAATATACCAGGAGTAAAGACCACACAAAATCAGCTAACCTAAACTTCCTCAAAGCAGATAAGAGCAAAGCAGAGCGCAATCTCCCAAAGCACTCATGAGACACAGAGGCTTCTCCCTTGAAGCCCTAAAGCCCTGTGGTCTCGCACTAGTGCTCTCTTTGGCGCTAGCTCTTAACTCAAAATGCTGCTCTTATGTCAATGTGAAACCCAGGCCAAATGACAGCTCTTAAGTCAAAATGTTCTTAAGTTGAGACACTCTAAAGTCAAGGTTTCACTGTAAAACCAATTGGGCTCCGAAGGCCTTAGTAAATCACCATGTTTTTACTTGGCATCAGAATGCCATGTGGGTGCCAACTACACCTCTAACACTGTACTACAACAGGCTACCTCTTCTAGATCAGGCGGGGAAAGATTTCAGGCTCACAAAACCTACTTAGTTTTCTGCTAGAGACCTGAAACTTCCTCCTCCATCGCCCAGGTGAAGCCTGATGCAAGAAATGTTCACTTGAGAACAAGGATTTGTTTTGTGTATTAAGACTGATTTAATTGCTCTTCAATATATATAGTAAAGGTAGTCCCCTGACATTAAGTCCAGTCATGTCTGACTCTGGGGTGTGGTGCTCATCTCCATTTCTAAGCCAAAGAGCCAGCGTTGTCCGTAGACACCTCCAAGTTCATGTGGCTGGCATGACTGCATGGAGCGCCGTTATCTTCCCCTCTTTAATCCTAAGCTTTATCTAGAGCAGCAATGTAATGTTTAAGGTGAGGTACTTTGTGACTGCTATTTTTTAACAGCCAGAACACAATTTTTTAGAATTGATTTCACTTCAAATTACCCAGTAACCTACTCATAGATCCCAATGTACCTTTTGGTCCCATCTCATCTGGACCCAGTTTCAATTATCTGTTTATTTATTTATAACATTTATATGCCGCCCTTCTCACCCTGAAAGGGACTCAGAGTGGCTTACAAGATATATATACATACAATATATTATATTATTAGCATAGTACAATATCAGAATTATATATTATTATATTATACTATACTATTATATTGTAATATTATTAATGGACTGGTCCCACTGGTTTTCGTTGCACAGCAGTGCGTCAACATTGAAGTAGTAGTTGTGGATGGTATCTGGAAACTGCCTTTCTTCTGCTATTGCCAAGAGCCCATGGAAAGGGATTGGGCCAATCCCTTTCCATGGGCTCTTGGCAACAGCAGAAGCTCACATACCGAGCTCATACTAGGCCAGTTGTCACCAGCAGTGGCATTCTTCCCATTGATCTGGCTGAAATTAGTTCATACCAAGGCCCGCT